TCTAACAGATCGTTTCCCAACCTGTACTGGAGTCTGGGGTTGTTCCTGCCCAGGAATGCTCCTGTACTGCCATCATATAAAATGCTTCTAATCTCAGCTTTGGGATGAAATGGGATATCAAGATCTTGCAAGCTTTTCTACTATTTGAAAGAAAAATGAAATACTTTGAAGTATGTTAGAAATCTAAGTATTAGCATGATTTAGAGAATGAAGAGTTGAAACTCAAAAAAAAGGATTGTGTGGTGACAGCACCGTTAGGCGACAGAGGTTGGGATCAGTCATCCCAAAGTGATTACGTATCCTTACGCCTGGTATTAATCAAAGAGCAGTATTAAGCTGTGTGCATTTACACTTGATGCGAACAGATCAGATGTTTCATTTACAGGATGCTATAAAGTTAGATAAACTGAGTCAGCGAAGGGGAGAGGCTGGAACGTGTTCATTTGTCAGCTCATCTCTGTCCAAATTCAGGAGGTGACGCCTGATCTGTCCAACACAATAGTGTGGTCCAAGAAGTGGAACCACACTAATTTCCCTTGAGAGATGACAAGTTTATCTCCTGAATAATAAATAAGCAGGAATAATGTTTGGGGAAAGATTAAATCCATCTGGAATCAAAGCCTAGACAACATGAAAATGATGGTTGGATATAAGTGACAGCATGCCCCACCTGAAGTGGGTGCAGTAGAAGAATAAGCTACGTAGAAAGGTGGAATCACATCGGGGAGAGTCAATGGAAGGCCAACTGGCTTCACAAAAATACCATAAACCAGGTATAGGAAAAAAAACCCATGGAGTAACCAACAATATAAAACAAATGTGAAGACAACTATTAAATTTCTATTTATTATAAAAGTGCCTTTTCAAAGATAACTTTCAACTGTTAATGTAGGAACTCCAGTGTTCAGGTGAAGCTTTGACAAAACAAAACTGTGGCCTCGTGTCCTTGAATTTTGAACCTAAGGAACATGTGACAAATGAAGCTTAGCGTGGGCTTGTGCTTGTTTTTCACTTTATTTGCTAAAGAATGGGAAAAAAATAGAACAGAGTAAATTTTATTCCTGGCACCTTAATCGTGAAGTAGAACTTCTAGTATTTCTTTCTCACTAATAACTCTGGGAATGAATTGAATTCATTGTTTTGTGATTTTCTTGCCCAGTTTTTCCCATCCCAGTGCAATGAGGACAGCACTCCACTAGTGGTCCCTCCAGGCATGGTTTATCTGCCTACATCCAAACCTCCCCTTCGCAAAATCAGCAGCGCTGGAGGAGGCACAGTGATGAAATTCCATTAGGGATGTGTTGGAACACGGTAAGGTATATATGTGTTTGTGAAAATACAACTAAATTAGGAGAATATCCTGCCTGCATATTTCTCCTGATGCAGAACAGGCTGCAAAAGTTGGTTTTGGGTTTTTTTCTTTTTCTTTTGACATTTTGAAGTGGGCTGTTCCTTGTTCTATCAAGTAGATGAAAATTTACACCCTTAATGATTCTCATTGAAAAGTTGCTCATTCTAAATTTTAGCATTCAAAAATTGAAATAAAGGGCTCTTAAAAATATATTTAAGACTCTGTGAGTCTTAGTTAATACTTCTGAAAACTCAGGCACAAGCAGAGAGTGCAGTGATGGATGTTTTATGTTTTTGCAGTTACTGAAAACATCAGGAAAGACCCAAAACTGATTTTGTCCTTTTACTGCAACCGTGCTGATGGCTTTGATGAGATGATCAATTCCACCTCTTGAGTAACTCTGTCCCCCACGTTCTCACCCTGTCTTTCTGTGAAGAGGTACCAGTGTGATCGTTTGTCTTCAGCTTGAAAACACTGCCTGAATTTTTCTCCCTTGGTGATAAATTCTGAGTAGGCAGGCAGTTTGCCTGTGAATGAAGCAGTCTGGTTTGTTTTTCAAGCACGGGTGGGTGTCATTCTGCGTCTCCTCCTCTCCACACCCTCCTTCCCCTCTGACTCTCTTGCTGAACTGGCAGAAGTTGGGGCTCCCTGCTCGCTCCTCCCATGTGTTATGGGGCTGGAGGCAGCTCTAACCCCTCCCAGGGAGGGAGCTGGGCAGAGGCAGTGAGTTACTGCAGCAGTGCCTGACCAGGGACCTCGTCCTACCAAAGCCTCACAGCTTGCAGTAGGTCCCAGCAGCCGGGATCTGCAGCAGGGACCTCCCTGGCTGGCTCTGCTAAAAAATCCCCCGTCCAGCTTGCCCCACCAAGGGATCGACATGGTGGCCACCTGCCTGCACCTGGCCGGATTTATCTGCAGTTTTATCGGGTGGATCGGGGTGATTGTGGCAACGTCCACCAATGACTGGGTGGTGACTTGTGGCTACACCATTACCACCTGCAGGAAAATGGATGAGCTGGGATCCAAGGGGCTGTGGGCAGATTGTGTCATGGCCACAGGTCTCTACCACTGTAAACCCCTCGTGGACATCCTCATCCTGCCAGGTATGTGTTCCCCGTCTTCCCCTTCCCACCCAGAGCTGTGGAACCAAGCCTTGCTCCGAGCAGGGCAGGTCCTGCTGCAGGATGAATTGATGGCGAAGCTCCTTCAGCTTCATCAGCGCAGGAGATTGTCTGTTAAATACGCTAAAAAATGTGAACAATATCTCTTAACAGGATTCTCATTAAATTATACCTGGCTTTGATCAAACCCAGGTATCATATGTTATCTGTGGCTATTAAAGTCCAGTTAATGTTTAATTACTGCTCATCTCACATCTAGATTGCATTGCAAAACAGACACTGTATATTAAAGTATAACAGAGTACTTTGAGAGAGAACATTTTGATTTTTGCTTTGAGAGGATGATGAACTATTACAAATGTTAAAGTTCTATTCCTTAAAATGATTTTAGAGTGAGTATAATGAATCTTTCAGCATCTATTATTAATGCTGCTATAGCTTTTAATCATTTGGAAGATCTTTATTAGACTTCATGGTCTTGTGCTTCCCACATGTTCTAAGGCAAGACAGAACTTTACACGGCAAACAGATGTAACTACATTCAACTGGTCTTGATATTTTCTAATTATACAGTAATTTTCATCTAGTTTACTGCAAAGCAGAAGTTAAGCAAGGTGTTTCATCAGTATTAATACATCTTTTGAGCTAATCAAACCTTCCAAAGCCTTGTGTGGTCCTATTTCTATAAGTTGAGTTAATGATCTCATCTGTGTCGGTCACTGTTAAATCTGCAGCACTTTGTTCTGCTGTGATTTAGGTTGCATGTCAGAGATGCCTCTTCCAAAGCTGGCAGGATAAAAATAACCATTTCTTGTAGGTTTTTGTTGTTTTGGTTTTTTTTTTCCCCATGTTTCTTTATTTTTTTATTTAAACTGCTGTGAAAATCATTTCACAAGAGGTTAGAAAATTTATTCCCGAATTTCCCTCTGTTCCAGAGCCTGGTCTGTATCACACAGTGCTCAGCAATATGGGATCTCTCTGACTGGCTCCTATTCTCCCTTGCCCTGTGTACACACACTTTGATTTTAGTAGGTTTCCCTTCCTGATTGCTACTGTTGTTCAATATGATCTGGCACAGAAGAAAGAGAAAAAGGCTTGTCCCAAAGAAACATTATTGAATGAAATGTCATAAATAGGTTTTTCAGCAGCAGAAAGCAATGCTTCCCTCCTGCAGAAACAAATCACCAAACCAGATGCTTCTGCTTGTAACCCGTTTGATACCCACAGCTTTCCACGGTGGAGATATTTATCCTGGGGTGCCCGATAGCTGAAATGGATTGAGAACCTTGAGAGACTGAGATCGATTGCCTGAGTCAGTTCTTTAAAACAAATATGTTTGGGTTCTCATTTAATTGGGATTGATTGCACAGAAACCACACCGGGCACTGCCAGCTCCTTTCTTTAGGGTCTCATTTTTTGCCCTGAACTCCTCAGGTAACTTTTTTTGTTAAGTTTCCTTTTGAAAAAAAAAATCCCAAAAAACAACAAACCCAATCAAAAAAAAATAAAACCTGAGCAAATATTAAATATACAGAGAATCTGCATGTCCAGGAACAGTAAAATCCTCATTCCTGGTGTCTTACCTGCATATCAGTGGGATGTGCTTGAGGCTCCTGATCGCTGATATTGTTTGGGACATCACAAAACTCCATGTCTGCGTGTGGCAGCTTCATTTTGTTACTCAGAGGGGAACCAGAGGCAGCGTATTTGCTGTGCTGAGGCTGTCCTGAGAGCTGCTGGAGGCTCACCAGGCAATGGAGCAAATCTGAGGCTTGTTCTTTTTCTTTTGCATGCAAGTGATGACCTGTTTTTATTTATTTATATAAACATTTAATGTACTATACATAAATTTTATAGATTAAAATATAGAAAAATAAATTATAGATATATAGAATATATAAAAATATTTTTAAAATTGTTGCATGATTATACACAGGCTCTCACAGAGTGGTAGAAATGTCCCAGCCCTGCCCAGCACACCCACAGTCCTTGTCCCCTGTTGTCCCTCGCTGCCTGGTGTCAGGCTGCTGGTGCTGCACAGGGGTGGGCAGGAGAGGAGTGGGAACTGATGAAATGCCAGGAGATCCCGTGGGGTCCATAGGGATCCCGTGGGGTTCGTAGGGATCCAGAGACATCATGTGGCCCTTGGTTATGGCAACTCAAGAAGCTCTGCAAAGTCATTTCTTCTCCCTAAGGAAGAGCTGTACCAGCGGTCAGCTGGAGCTCCGGGTCTCCTCTGAAACCCCACTGCCAGGCTGGAGTCCTGAGGTGCAGCACTGGGATGTGGCTGTGGTTGGGGAGGGTAAAAAGTGAGTGTCCCTTCTCCTCCCAGGCCAACAGTCCTCAGCTCCCAGAGCAGCTGGTGACAGTATCTGATGGGTCTGCATGGTTCAGTAGTGGGTCCTCAACTATCCAGCTCTCCTCTGGGTGACCATGGACCTCTGCTCATAGTGAGCTGCTCTTTAAGACTTTAAATTCTTGTTATTTAATTACAACCTGGTCTAGTGGAAGGTGTCCCTGCTGATGGCAGGGTGGTTGGACTAGATGACCTTTGAAGGTCCCTTCCAACCCAATACATACTATGATTCTATGAAAAGATATAGGAAAACTCCTTCCTAGCTGTTTCTCCTACTTTCCAGATTTCCCAGTGCCTGGCTGGGAAGAGTTTGTGTTTTCCAGGCAGTGCTACTTGTTCATTGGAAACCTCTGAGCTCACACACCCCGTGTTCATGCACTGCCCACTGTACTGTGGTCTCCCTGTCTTAATTGTTTACACCAAGGATTGAACCTGTCTCTGGTACTCCATGCAAGCATTGGGAGCTCATCAAACAGCAGCCTTTGTCCAAAGGTCTCCTTCTCTTGTGCCGAATGATAAAAATCCTCTTTCCTTGCCTTTCCCACAGGGTATGTCCAAGCATGTCGAGCACTGATGATCGCTGCTTCTGTCCTGGGTCTTCCCGCTATTTTCTTACTGATAACGGTCTTGCCCTGCATCCGGATGGGCCACGAGCCTGGAGCTGCCAAGTACCGGCGGTCCCAGCTGGGAGGGATCCTCATCATCCTCCTGGGTAAGGCATCTACCGCGTGCCGAGAGCCAGAGGTCTTCCTTCCTCTGCTCCAGGACCTCACTGTGCAAGCTGCTCGGGCATGTTCAGCTGAAAGGCTGGTTGTCCAGGCTGGGCTGGCCCTGAAGCTGGCCCTGAACAAAAGGCAGGACAGGAGTGGGAGGACAAGGACAGGAGGAGGGAGTGAAACAGGGTGAAGAGGGGAGGGCTGCGAAACCCTGCAGTGCATTGTCCTGTGGACTCCTCGGGCATGGCCACCGCCTCTGCTTGTGGCAGGGCAATAGCAGTCGCACCCAGGCAGCTGCCTGTGGGCACTGGTTTTACTGGTTTGCTGTGGAAGTGAAGCTATTTTTGGAAAAAGGTCTCAACTTCCAAGCTGCTTTCAGGGAATGGATACCCTCTGAATTTTCCCTGGGCATCGTGGATGCAGTTGGGTTGAAGCTGAGGCGTGTGGGAAGGGAAGCTCATGGCCAAGGGGTTTCTGGTCCTCTGGGGACAGCAGGGATGGTGGCATGGACCTGGGAAGAGGGCTGGCATGTCCCCTCTGCTTCCCAATGCCCTCTGGCCAACCATGCCCTTGGCCTCTGAGTTCCCTTGGGAATTTCTTCCCATCCTAAGTGCCTGCGGAGGAGATTGTTTTGAGCAGCACAGACTGTGGAGCTCATTGTCCCCAGCACAGCACCTGCATGTTCTTGAAGCCTCGTCATCTCAGCAACAGGCTGCGGTGCCTTGTTTTCACCCGTCTGTGTGGCAGAGGAGGAGGGGAGAGGGAAAGTGGCCTCTTTGTGTGGCTCTGCTGGTTGCTGGTGGCCAGCGCTGACATCATGCCCGTCTTCGTTGTTCTTCTCCTTATTTTTTTTTCAAGTGGGCACAGGCTGCACTCTCAGAGGGGCTGTCCTCTGGACTCTCCTTCCTTGCAAGTGGTTCCTCCTCCAGTGCCTTGAGGAGAAGCAGATAGTACGAGTTGGTACGTCCAGAATCTAAGGGATGGAGACCAAGGGGTCCTTTCAATGCTTGTGGGGTTTAAGGGCACAATGCCACAGCTGGAAGTCCTAAAATCAGCTTTATAGGGGCTGTTTAGGACATCCCAATCGTGAATAGCTGGGGTGTCCTAAATGTTAGAGAGGACATTAGAGACATCTCCAACATTAGAGAGCTGTTGGAATGTGACCTTCATCCCTGTCCCCCCAAAAAAGTGTTTTTTTTCTGCCTGTGAATGAAATTTTAACTCCAGAGGCATTTGTGCTGCCAGATTTCCCCTGCCTGGGCTCGGGGGGAGGCCCAGCAGAGCTGCACTTTGTCACAGATACAGATTTTAGGTTCCAGTCAAGGAGAACCGAGCTGTAGCTCATCCCCATGTGCACGGCTGGAGATGTGAAGGTGAGATTATTGCCCTTCAATCTGCTTTGCTGAAGGGCAACAGGATTCCAGGACCAGCACATGGGTGGCAAACGCGTTGCAGGGACAGTGCTGGGTAATGCTGCACTAGAACCAGTGACATCCTGTATCTCCAAGCATTGCACTGGGGGTTTGGGGTCTGGTGAGCCACTCTCTCATCCTGGTCTGGCCATGGTGTGACACCAGGAAGGAGAATAGGTGTAAGAGGATGGAGGAGAAGGTTGTGGTGCTCCACAAACCAGGCTCCTCTCAGCCTCAGAACGTGGTTTCCCCATTAGGTAGATCCCGTGAGGAAATGAAATGTGTATTTACAGAGACATGGGTGGACCAATGCTCTTTGGGTTGGATTTGGACACTTCTCACTGATTTTGACCCCTATGAGTTTTGAAGCATCTGCAGGTGAAGTGGTTTGCTTGTGTCACTGATGTCCTGAATGATCTGGGCTGGGAACGGCAGCCTGGTCTCAATGTTTTAGTCACAATCACAAGAATGTTTTAGTCACTATGACAATAATGATCTTCTTGTCAGAACACAAATGAAGAATAAATCAGCTCCTTTTGCTCTTAAAGTTTGGGGGTTTTTTGTTTTGTTTTGTTTTGTTTTGTTTTAAAAAAACCCCAACCCAATTCACATTTATTTTTACAAAATCCAAATTTTTCCAAGCTAATCAACAAGACAGTCCCTTTGGAAGGAGAATAATGTACAGAGCTTGGGACTGTGACATTATTTAAGCTGATTAATGATCTGTTATTTGCAAAATGAGGTGTTACCATTCCAGAGCATTTAATAGGCATGAATCTGGCATCGAAAGTCATAATACTGAATTAAAATTCATTATATTCTAGAAGTAATATGCCCTGGACTGTTCTTATTTACTCTCTGGTCACTGAACCCTTGTTTGTGGTTTTTCCCATCTGTGCAAGCTCCAGCCTTTTCCTCTAAACGGGGACCAACTCCCAGAGCTCTGGTTAAAAGAAAATAAACCCCAAAAACACTCACAACAGAGCAGAAAGGGAGAGCTGAGATGTGATCAGGGGAGCTGGCCCCATGGCAAACTTCACTGGTTGCTTGGGGAAGGGATGACAGTTTGTCACTGAAATTTATTAAAAAAGAAAACAGGGGTTGAAACAGTGGGGGGGAAACAAAAAAGAAGCAAATAAAAAAAACCCCAAAAAACCAAAAAAAAACTTGAAAACTTGCCAGGAAAACAATGGGCTCAGATATTCCATTGATTTTTCTGTCTGCTGATAAAAGGAGGCTGCAGAGTGCAACCTGTGAGCACACCCTCCCGTCCTGCCTGCTGATGGATTTATGTCTGTGCTTGATTTTATCTGCCCAGGAGAATTGATTTATTGCCGAAAACAACCGTCAGCAGAGGTTTGCTCTGAGCCAGTAGGAAAACATTTCATACACTAGTGTTGATGGAAAAACCCTGCCCCATCCTGTGTTGTTGGTACTAATTCGGGGGACCCCGTGCTGGTAACCAAGCGGGTTTTTTCCTAGTGGAGGTGAGGGACCTGAGACACTGGAAAACACAGATGAAAAATATATTTAGTTATTGGGAATTACTACTGCAAAATGACCATATTAGCTATTGTGTACTAAATAATTCTATTAATAATTTTTTTTTCTGGACACTGCATGAGATTTACTTGTACAACAATAAAAGTCTAAATTAAAAGATTGTCTTGAACATAGAAAAAAAAAAATGGATATCTATTATTTCAACCAAATGCTTTGAAAGAGCAAACTGTGTGACTGAGTCAGCAACTCAGAATAATTAAATTTAGCTATGAAAGAATTATTCTTTCTTCTGCAGAAAGCCTTTAACTGACTGTTAAGGAATTTGGCAGGGACTCACTGTCCCTTCAGTTGGAGTGATCCTGCCGTATCTCCCCCACCTCCCCAGGCACCTTCTGTGCTTCTCGCCTGCGTGTCCTTCCATCTGACTAAACCACGCCTGTCATGCAGAATATTACGAGTTTCAGCTCCACAGACTGAATTCTGTAGTCAAATAGTCTATATTTGAGCAATACTATAGTCAAAAAGCTCTTAGAAACTCTGGGAGCCTGGGATGTGTCCCGGTGGATTTGATTTACAGCGATTTGATGGAGCAAGGACAACCAGACTGAGATGTCTCTTGCAGAACTGCCTACTCTAGCTGCAAAAAGTAGGCAAGCTTTCCAGGATGGGTCTGCCCCAAAACATGCCTGGTTGTCCAGCTAATATAGTTGGTCTAATAGTAAAAATAGTCATAGAATATTTTCTATTATTCCTGTTTTTATTGTTATCTATATATCTATTAGATATATAGTATATATATCTGTATCTCTATATATTGGATATATAGTATATATATCTAATAGATATATTAGATACATAAGATATAGAGTGTATATATACTTAATATATATAATATATAAACTATACTATATTACTGGTGCTTATTATTAGATATATAAGATATATAGTGTATATATACATAATATATATAAAATATGTATAATATATAAACTATACTACATTACTGGCTTTATGAGCATCCTTCCAATGTTCGTCTCTTTTCCATAAGAAAATATTTTCTCTGACAATAACTGCAGCCACTGGGGATGGGTTTTCTGCTGTGCCAGCCAGGAGCTATGGTTTGTTCTCTGCTTTAATTAATTCTTCTCTTTGCAGACCTTTTTTTTTTCCCTTCCTGCTAGGCTATATTGCCTACAGTAGCTCTCCTATCTGAAGATGTCCTTATTTAGAGAGAGGCAAAGGGTCTCTCGGCATTAGCACAAAGGAGAAGGGGTGATCATTTCTCTTCAAACCCCTTTTCTATGTAGGTAGCTATTTTAGAATCTTAAACTTGCCCTAAAATGCTTTTTTTTTCAATCCCTTTGGCTTTCTTGGCAAATCAACTCATTTTCAGCCTTTCTCTTTGATACAGTTAAACCACAATTTGTGTTCACCAAGAAATATTGCAGTTGCAGACTGTCCTTTTCACATGGTCTGGGAGGATTTACAGCCCAATCTCATCTCTGCAGAGCGATGAAATCCCGTCCTGTTTCGGGGCGTTCCTCTTGCTGAGCAATGGGGTTGCTGGTGACAGCTGGTAGCCTCCAAAGACAGAGAGGTCAAAGTAACCCGTGCAAAGCCCTTGGCTTGTGTTTCACAGCTCTCTGCTATTGTCAGCATGAAAATAAGGTGGTTGGACATGTAGTGGAGCCACAGGCATAAGAGATGCCATTGTGTTGGTGTCCCTGAGAGCTCTTCTCACCCTGTACAAGTGTTTTCTTTAGTTCTGTGTTGTGGGGGAGGGTCTGGATAGATAAGGCTCTTATAGTCTATGGACATATATATATATATATATATATATAATTTATGGCTGT